CAGCCAGTGGTATAAAAGTCGAGCACACACAATTATGTATAGTACATAATACTTGATAATAAACTATATTACTGGTTTATGTACTCTATGTATTCTACATGGATTTCTATGTATTCTGTGTTTATGTATATACTCTATATTCTACTTATAAAAAAAGTTAACTGAAGCTGGCACAGTAGCTGGTAGAGCATGCCTGTAGTTTCAGCTACTCAGAGGAGGTAGAGGTAGGATGATTGTTTGAGGCCAAGAGTTTGAGGCCAGCCTAGGCAACATATCTAGATCCTGTCTCTTAAAAAAAAAGTTAACCATAAAACAGCCTCCAGCGGGTCGTTCAGGAGGTAGTCCAGAAGCAAGCACTCTTATTACAGGAGATGACAGCTCCATGCATGTTACTGCCCTGAAGACCACAGAATGTAGGGGTGGAAGACAGTGAAATGTGTATGTTTGTGTCTTAGTTTTCAACAGAAAACTTTAAAAAAGAAAAAGAAAAAAGCTTATAGACTTAAAGGATATAAAGAAAGAAAATATTTTTGTACAGCTATACAATGTGTGGTTTAAGCTGTTATTACAAAGAGTCAAATTTTAAAAAATAAAGAAGTTTATAAAGTAAAAAAAGTTACAGTAAGGTTAATTTATTATTGAAGGCCAGGCATGGTGGCTCATGCCTGTAATCCTAGCACTCTGGAAGGCTAAGCCGGGAGGATAGTTTGAGCTCAGGAGTTCGAGACCAGCCTGAGCAAGAGCAGGACCCTGTCTCTACTAAAAAAAAATAAGGCGGCGCGGTGGCTCACCCTGTAATCCTACTCTGGAGGCCGAGGCGGGCGGATTGCTCAAGGTCAGGAGTTCAAAACCAGCCTGAGCGAGACCCCGTCTCTACCATAAAAATAGAAAGAAATTAATTGGCCAACTAATATATATAATATAAAAATCAGCCGGGCATGGTGGCTCATGCCTGTAGTCCCAGCTACTCGGGAGGGTGAGGCAGGAGGATCGCTTGAGCCCAGGAGTTTGAGGTTGCTGTGAGCTAGGCTGACGCCATGGCACTCACTCTAGCCTAGGCAAGAAAGCGAGACTCTGTCTCAAAAAAAAAAAAAAATAGAAAATATTGGACAACTAAAAAAAAAAAAATACATACATACACACACATATATATAAATTAGCTGGGCATGGTGGCGCATAGCTGTAGTCCCAGGTACTCGGGAGGCTGAGGCAGAAGGATCGCCTGAGCCCAGGAGTTTGAGATTGCTGTGAGCTACGCTGACGCCACAGCACTCTAGCCTGGGCAACAGAGTGAGACTCTATCTCAAAAAAAAAAAAAAAAAAAAAAATTATTCTTGAAAACATAAGAAATTTTTAAATAAATTTAGTGTAGCCTAAGTGTACAGTGTTTATAAAGTATACAGTAGTGTAATGTTCTAATGTCCTAGACCTTCACAGTCACTCACCACTCACTCACTGATTTATCCAGAGCAATTTCCAGGCCTACAAGCTCCATTCATGGCAAGTATCCTATACAGGTATATCATTTATCTTTCATACCATATTTTTACTGTACCTTTTCTATGTTTAGGTATATCTGGATACACAAATACTATTTTTTTTTATTTATTTTTTTTTATTTTGGCATATTATGGGGGTACAGCACAAATACTATTGTGTTACAATTGCCCACAGTATTCAGTAGCCTAACATGCTGTACAGGTTTGCAGCCTAAGAGCAATAGGCTATACCATATGGTGTAGGTATGTAGCAGGCTATACTATCTACGCATGTGTAAGTACACCATAAGACATTCAAACAACCACGAAACTGCCTAATGACGCATTTCTCAGAACACGTCCTTATTGTTAAGCAAGGCATGACTAAACAAACAAAAAATGCATAAAGATGAAAATAAAAAAGAGATCAATATTCATTAATCTACTGAGAACAGATGAATGTGCTCCTAACTTTACTGTTCTCAGTAATGTTTTATGTATTTACCAGTATACCCAGCATGCACCATTTACAGCCTGTCCCTTGTTTGAGCTGGTCCTTCTATCTGAATATCAGCTTTGCTGACATACCACTTATCTTTCAAGTGTAATGCCACATTTCCCCTAACATCTCCCTGCAGCAAAAACCATGGTCAGCATTATCAAGAGTTACTGACCCTTTTATTTCCACCACAGTGTGGGGGTCTTGGTTCTCCTACTGCCATGTACTAGCAAACATTCAAATGTTGGATGAATGAGGTTGACAACATAAATTCTCCTTCTGACAAAAGTCAAGAAAACAGATGAAGACCAAAAGTTTTCATTTATGAGAGAAATCCATACCAAGAAAGGGTTTCTATAATCCCTCCCCCCCTCATTCTCTGCTTTGAACCTTGCCTCTCTTTAAAGCATAAGGAGAGGCAAATTAATTTTCACCTTTTCCACAAAATGATTGAGCATAACAGATCACCACTTTCTATGAATAAAAACTACTTAAGATGTAGTTTTTAAATTGTTATTAAAAATGTAGTTTTTAAACTGCTATTGTAGTTTTTAAACTGCTATTAAAAATGTAAATAATGAGCTGAGTTTGGTGGTTCACACCTGTAATCTTAGCACTCTGAGGAGACTGGGCGGGAGGATCGCTCGAGGTCAGGAGTTCCAGACCAGCCTGACCAAGAGCGAGACCCCATCTCTACTAAAAAAAATAGAAAGAAATTAGCTGGACAACTAAAAACATATATAGAAAAAATTAGCCAGGCATGGTGGTGCATGCCTGTAGTGCCAGCTACTTGGGAGACTGAGGCAGAAGGACTGTTTGTGCCTAGGAGGAGTTTGAGGTTGCTGTGAGCTAGGCTGATGCCACAGCACTCACGCCTGGGCAACAGAGCAAGACTCTGTCTCGAAAAAAAGTAAATAATGTGAGTCAAAAGGTTTCTTTAAGGCTTTTTAAAGAGTATCGAAAATTAGTTACTTTCCAAAGTCTCACCCTTGAAAGAAAGCACTTAACTTTAGTACAATGAAATGTTAAAATACTTTTAGTTAGTATTTTTAAACTATATAACTGGGTTTATATACATAATCCTAGCACTGTAATCCTAGCACTCTGGGAGGCTGAGGCAGGTGGATAGCTCAAGTTTATATACATAAACCCAGTGATACAGAGAACCAGTGAAACAGACATGTTCAAAATTCAAAGAGCTCTTTTAGCATCAACTGACCACATTTGAATTTATGAGAAGTTGAATCAAAACAAATAACATACTATAAAACAAAAGTGCAGGCAACAACCTTAAAAAGGAAATACATGATGGGACAAACACATTTTAATGCGTCCTTGGCCTTCTTGGGCAAAGCAATGAGAAAAGCAGTCAACCAAAGCATTTAGACTTGATTTTATTGGAAGTACCAACATCATAGGTCAACCTGTCAAATGAAGCAAAAGGCAGAACTGAGTTCTATGGGTACAGTCCACTTCAGATAAAAGCCAATGGACCTTTTTACAGTTTATGGGGTCCTCTCCATATGGCTGGGGATGCAGGCATGGAAGGAATATTGTCTGGACGATTAAATCCTGTGAAATGAACATAAGAGTCAGGAAGATTGGAGGTGAGTTGACACTTACAATGTCCACTTGTTGCCTCAAACTCACCACAATTCCAAAATAATGAGGAACAACATGTTGGTTCTAGTTCTGTTGAAAACACCTATAAGCTAAATGTCCTTCTAAAGACTGAGCTTCCCACTTAAAAAACAAAATAAAACCTAAAAAAGCAAAAGTCCACACCTATAAATAGTTCAAAGGATTATTTCAAACATGTTGCAAAATGAAAAATCCAACTCTAAACTAAGAAGAAATAGTCACCTCTAAGTATCCAAGAAGAGCATCAAGAATTTGCAAATTAAGGCTGGGCACGGTGGTTCATGCCTGTAATCCTAGCACTCTGGGAGGCTGAGGCAGGTGGATAGCTCAAGTTCAGGAGTTCGAAACTAGCCTGAGCAAGAGTGAAACCCCGTTCTCTACTAAAAATAGAAAGAAATTAATTGGCCAACTAAAATATATAGAAAAAATTAGCCGGGCTTAGTGGTGCATGCCTGTAGTCCCAGCTACTCGGGAGGCTGAGGCAGAAGGATTGCTTAAGCCCAGGAGTTTGAGGTTGTTGTGAGCTAAGCTGACGCCACAGCACTCTAGCAAAAAAAAAAAAAAAAAAAAGAATTAGCAAATTAATTTGGAGTCAGAAAATGTTAAAGAAACAAAAAGGCAGATCATTTCAGTAGCATAAGATCTTTATGAATGGCCTTAGCTCTAGCCCTATTTTAGGTTTTCATTCCCTTTTATTAAAGGGGTGCTGGGTGGGGACAAGCCATAACTGTAGCAAGAAGGGTGGCACATTAACTATAATAGACAGAGACAAAAGAAAACTACTCCTGACCACTATCTCCTGTCTTTCCCAAGAGATTTGAGGAGCAATAACCATAAAACCCTCCTTATCCCTCCTCAACTAGGGGGCTCCTTGGATATAATATAGTGCAGGGACTACTCGGTACCAAAAAGTACATAACATCTCTCTCCTTAAGGGACAGAAAGACAATGGGCATTCCTGTCTTGCCTACAGTCAAACTAAATGACATGAAGAAAAAGACCAAGAAAAGTATGTTTAAAAAATCATCTAGAAATAGAATTTTATTTTAGTAAGCAAAATGAGCAAAAATACAATTTTATTTTAGCACAGTACAATTGCTTCCCCTATTAAGCTTGTTTTCTATTGATTCTCCTGGGTGATTCATTGGAAAAATACTGTATTTAGAATCAGGAAAACTAAGTTTAAATACTTACTAGTTTTACCACTTGTTCTGTGACTTAGGCAAGTCACTTAAAACACACGTCCCACTTTCCTCATTTGCAAAAATGTAGTTAACCTTGCCACCTCACAGGAAATGTCCCATGATAAATTTGTAAAGTGCTAAGTACAGATAAATTAAAATTATCATTATTAATATTACCACCCTCTTTCCCTTTCCCAGGTAAAAATTTGAACCAATGACAAAATGGCAAAAGACAAGAAACAAGGAAAAGAACTGGAAAAGAGACTGGCTACCAGTCAAACAAACAAAACAAAACAATAAACCCTAAAAAACACAATAAATAACTACTGATTGGTAGAACCATTCTGTGACAGGTAACTTTTATGTCATTCTCTAAGAAAGCTTACACACACTGGGATCTACAGCCCATTCATAAAAATCACAGCAGAGTTAAATCCTCATTAATCCTCTAATTCACATTCAAGAATGCCAGGAGAGCACATTCTTATTCTACATGGCAAGAACCACAAGACCAATCCCTCCCCTCCCCACTGAGGGACCACTGCCTGACTGCTGGAGCCCCACTTGGAGGCAGACAGCCTCTAAAGTGCAAAAGTTCCTCTTCCTTCCCTGGCCACTAGCATAAATAATTAGCAAACACTCTAACTTTAGTTCCTCTGAAATAAGCCCACAGAGAAGAGGGAGCTAATGAGAGGGTATCAGCATTTGCAATCCTAAATTTCAAAAATAAAAGAGCCAAAAAAGACAAAAACATTTTATGGAAAATCAGCCATAGGCATACTCAGACCACCACAAGTCACACAAAATAGTTAAAATGACTCCTTGATCCATGAGCTACAGAATAGATGTTGTGTTAGCAGGCATGAAAAAAACATTAATTTCTTTGTACGTTTCCATTAGAGCACTCGAGTAATCAGGTGCATTGTCAATGAGCGGTAATATTTTGAAAGGAATCTTTCTTTCTGAGCAGTAGGTCTCAACACTGGGCTTAAAATACTCAGTAAACCATGCCGTAAAAAGATATGCTATCATCCAGGCTTTGCTAGTCCACTGACAGAGCACAAGCAGAGTAGATCTGACATAATTCTTAAGGGTCCTTGAATTTTTGGAATGGCAAATGAGCACTGGCTGCATCTTAAAGGCACCAGGTGTTTAGTCCCTAACAAGAGAGTCAGCCTGTCCTTTGGAGCCAGACACTGAGTTGCCCTCTCTAGCTATGAAAATCTTAGATGGCATCTTCTCCCAATAGAAAGCTGTTTCACTTACACTGAAAATCTGTTCTTTAGTGTAGTCACTTTCTTTAATGATCTTAGCTAGATCTTCTGGATAACTTGCTGCTTCGCTTTGTACTTGTATGTTATGGAGATGGCTTCTTTCCTTAAATTTTATGAACTAATCTGTGCTAGCTTCAAACTTTTCTTCTGCAGCTTTTTCACCTCTCTCAGCCTTCATAGAACTGAAGAGAGCTAAGGTCTTGCTCTGAATTAGGCTTTGGCTAAAGGGAATGTTGTGGCAGGTTTGATCTTCCATCTAGACCGCTTAAACTTTTTTCGTAGCAGCAATAAGGCTGTTTTGCTTTCTTATCATTCATGTGTTCACTGGAATGGTAGTACTTTTAATTTCCTTCAGAAACTTTTCCTTTGTATTCACAACTTGGATAACTGGTGCAAGAGGTCTAGCTTTTAACCTACTTCAGCTTTTGACATGCCTTCCTCACTAAGCTTCAATCATTTCTAACTTTTGATTTAATGTAAGAGACATGTAACCCCTCATTTCATTTGAACACTTAGAGGCCATGGCAGGGTTATTAATTGGCTTGATTTTAATACTGTTGTGTCTCAGGGAACAGGGAGGCCCGAGTGGAGGGAGAGAGACAGAGAACAGTGGAGTGGAACAGTCAGCACACACATAACATTAATCAGTTCACTGTCTTAGGCAGGCGTGGCTTGTGGCACCCCAAAACAATTACAAAAGTAATATCAAAGATCATTGATCTTCATAACAGATATAATAATGAAAAAGTTTGAAACTGGGAGGATTAACAAAATGTGACACAGAAACATGTGAGTAGATGTTATTGGGAAAATGGTGCTGATAGTCGTGCTCAATGTAAGATTGTCACAAATCTTTAATTTGTTTAAAGAAAAAAAAGAAAAAAGAAAAAAGGGCCAGGCGTGGTGGCTCACACTTATAATCCTAGCACTCTGGGAGGCAGAGGTGGGTGGATTGTTTGAGCTCAGGAGTTCGAGACCAACCTGAGCAAGAGTGAGACTCGGCTCTACTAAAAATAGAAAGAAATTAGTTGGACAACTAAAAATAAATAGAAAAAATTAGCTGGGCATGGTGGTGCATGCCTGTAGTACCAGCTATTCGGGAGGCTGAGGCAGAAGGATTGCTTGAGCCCAGGAGTCTGAGGTTGCTGTGAGCTAGGCTGACTCTACGGCACTGTAGCCTGGGCAACAGAGTGAGACTCTGTCTCAAAAAAAAAAAGAAGGCCAGGCAAGATTGCTCACGCCTGTAATCCTAGCACTTTGGGAAGCTGAGGTGGGAGGATTGCTTGAGCCCAAGAGCTTGAGACCAGCCTGAGCAACACAGTAAGACTTCTGTCTCTACCAAAAAGAAAAAAAAAGAAAAGAAAATTAGCCAGGTGTGGTGGCGTGCACCCATAGTCCCAGCTACTCAGGAGGCTGAGGCAGAACTGCTTGAGCCCAGGGGTTTGAGGATGCAGTGACTGCACTTCACTCCAGGCAACGGAGAAGGAAAGGGGGAAGGGGAAAGAGGAGGGGGGGAGGGGGAGAGAGGGAAGGGGAGGGGGAGGGGGGCAAGGAAAGGAAAGGAAATAATATTTTAAATACCAACACACAAACATATGAATAGACAAAACACCATGAGTAAGAACCATTATAAACAAAGACCCAAAGCAATTCCAGATACCGGCATTACCAGATTATTAAAAAAACTATATTTACTATGTTCTAGTAACATAGTAAGCCAACCTTGAAAAATTTAACAGGGAACAGGAAACCATAAAAAGCAACACAGCAGATTTGAAAACAATCAAAACTTAAAAATATAATAAACCCATGCACTGAGTTCTTAATTTAAATTAAAAGCAGATTAGTCAAAGAGAGAACTGGTTAACTGGAAGATGGATCAAAATAAGCTACTCAGGATGAAAAACAGAAAGGATAAAAAATACAGAAGAGAAGGTATCTAAAAGAATACAGTGAGATCTAACATATCCCTATATAGTAGAGTCTCAGAATGAGAAGGGAATAGGAGCAAGGCAATATATTAAGAGAACTGCTGCGAATTTTCCAGAACAAATAAGAGATATCAAGCCACAAACTCAAGAAGCTTAGTGATGCCAGGCACAGTGGCTCATGCCAGTAATCCTAGCACTTGTGAGTCTGAGGCCAGAGGATCACTTAAGGCTGAGAGTCCAAGACCTGCCTGAGCAACATAGTGAGACCCCCATCCTCTCAACAAAAAAGAAAAAAAACTAGCCAGGTGTGGTAGCGCATGCCTGTAATCCCACCTTCTTGGGAGGCTGAGGCAGGAAGATCGCTTGAGTCCAGGAGTTTGAGGTTGCAGTGAGCTATGATGACACCACTACACTCTAGCCCAGGTAATAGAGCAAGACCCTATCTCAAAGAAAAAAAAAAAGCAGCTTGAAGAACACAAAGTAAGTTATCTGTTATACCCAAATGTCTTCTAAAAATGACATGAACCTATTCTGTAAATACAGCATCAGTTATTAATGATTAAACATGTATCTATTGTGATCCTACTCTATGGACAAATTTATAATGCTCCCAGCAAATAAGAAGCTCAAAGTCAAACACTTAGAAGAAACTATAATGATCTTCCTACCATTGCACAACAAAAGTAAAAAGAAAAAAGAAAAATGCTAGAGTGAAGTATTTAAAAGGAAAGGGGGTTAAACTTAAAAAGTTATAAAACTAAAAGGCATCTGTAGGAGTAACAGTAGGGATACTAAAATGTTATCCAATGGTCCAGAACTAGAAGTTACCATATTTACATTCCTTTCATTGTGTTAAGCATACCCAACAATCTCACCTGAAAGTCCCTGGCATGAGAAACTCAAAAAAGGACCTTTTCTTTATATTTTCCCCATCCATAACTAATAAAGGATGAAAAAAAATCTAGCCAGGCTCACACCTGTAATCCTAGCACTCTGGGAAGCAGAGGCAAGAGGATTGCTTGAGGTTTTAGGAATAAAGAAGCTTATAAAATTTTATGTATGCTGGGACAGGCTTTCAAAACTTCGTTTTTCCAGATCTTGTCGCTCTGTGAGCTGTGTAAGCTTCAAAGAGATCTGGGGAAAAAAAAAAAAAAAGATACAAAGACAAAAAAGGGCACCTAACAAGTTTCAAAATCATCAAAATTTCTTCTAGCCCTGGGATTCCACTACTGTCCAAACTCACATAAGACTTATTCACAAACTAACTTGTTCAAATGATATTAGCAGAAAAGAATTCCAAATTTCCAGATAATGCAAATCATATATCTGACATCTGATAAGGGTCTAGCATCCAGAATATATAAAGAACTCTTACAATTCAACAACAAAAAGACAACCAAATTTTAAAAATAGGCAAAGGACATATATACATTTCTCTGAAGACAACACACAAATGTCCAACAAGCACATGAAAATATGTCAACAGCTTTACTTACTAAGGAAACAGGAATCAAAACAACAATGAGACACCACTTCACATCTAGGAAAAGAGTTACAATCAAAACATGGAAAACTAAAAGTGTTGACAAGGATGTAAAGAAGCCAGAATTCTCATGCACTGCTGGTAGGGACGTAAAATGGTGCAGCCACTTTGGAAAACAGTTTAGCAGTTCCTCAAAAGGTTAAACATAGAATTACCATTTGACCAGCAATTCTACCCCAGGTATATACCCCAAAGAAATGTAAACAGAGTCAAACAGATACTTGTATGCCAATGTTTATTGCAGCACTGTTCAAAAATAGCCAAATGCTCTCTTTTTCTATCCCCAGGAAGCGTTTTTTAGGTATTTTTTCTATGTGTGGCATACTTCACCAGCAAAGTGTTCCTGGGGATTTCTTTTGGAATGATTTTTGCCAACTATTCAATTTCATCATGGAGAACACTGTGGCACATTTATGTGTTTTATTCTATCTTTTTTAATAAGACTTCTAAGAATTTTCCTATATCTCCTAAATTTCCAAATGCATTGGCATAATACAAAATGGCATCTCTTTTTTAATATTTGCAGCTTTTCTATTATCATTCTTTTAAACATTTTCTAATTCTGATATTTTGGGGCCTTCCTTCTGCAGAATGATCCAGTCTCACTAGAGGTTTCTTGGTTTTAATATCCTTTTCAAAGAACTGACATTTGA